GCGCTATATAAATCCAATCCATTAAAAAATGTTGAATGAGTTGAAATCCACTGAATCATTCACCTGAAGGCCAAAGATTCAGTAGTTATTACATTTCAGCTCAAACCATTCAGCTATCAGCATTCACACTGCATTTCGATCAGGAAATGCATTCTCTCTCTCTCTCTCTTTTTTTTTTACTACATACAATATATACAGTACTGTATGTATTTTGGCCATTTATCAAGTCTTGTATATTATCAAGAAATCCTTTACTTAGCATACACGTGTTTTCAAGATATTCCTTTTTGTTCTTAATCATATGTAAATTACACATGCAGACATTCTGTTTGATGCTGATAGTTGTTTGTTTTATTGCAGTTTACTTTGTTGGCTTATTTTGTGCAAAAAAGAGTCATTTAATGAAGATGATATATAAAAACAGACTTTCACTCAAGGCAACCAAATGTCTCAATGCTTTGGCCTCATATGACAATAACAAAACTGCATGTCCTTTACCTCTCTCTTTCTTGTGCCTGCTAATACAAGGAAATTCATTTCAATTATTAATGTGAAATAAATCAAAAATGTGCTCTTTAAAAGCAACTTTAAATGACAAACTATTCAACTGAAAATTCACAATCCAGTCACATGTGGAGCCCCTCACACATTAAAGCCATACAGTTTGATTGTGTTTGGGTCTTTTAAATGGTTATGAATAGTGCAGTGTAGTTTTTACTGTAGAATCAAGAGCAAAATCTCTTCTACAGTGATGAAACTATATCTCCTAGACTAGAGGTGTCAAAACTATTTTACATCAAGGGTCACATACAGCCCACTTTGATCTTAAGTAGCCGGACCAGTGAAACTGTCTTTCTGTCAGTGTAAAGAAGTTAAATCTTTAACTGTTTTTCTACATAATCAAGAAAAAACAGCTGTGACATAGAAAGAAATCTGTCAGCATGAGTCTTTGGACTTTAACTGTACAAAATAAATGTGAAACATTACAGAAAAAGTTTGGGTAGCTCATTGCCTGGACTGTGATTGATTGATTGGTAATTTATTTCAATATGTGAACAATATACAAGTACATTTAGAAAAGAAAATAAGAGAGAAAAAATACTATACAAATTACATACAAAAAAAACGTTCTGATTAATTTACATGTTGAAAGGGAGTGGGAAGAAGTAAACAATGTCAGTTTTTTGTTGTTGTTGTTTCTTAAATTAAACTGTAATCGTAAAAAAAACCACACACACACAGACATTTCTATAGTAGAAAGTGAAAATCAGAAACTATTTTTTCATTTAATTGTTTATTGCTTAATTACTTTGCATAGTATGAATGACCTCCCTATCTTCTTTTTTCAACCTGGACAACTTTTATTACTTTCCCTCATCCCCTGCACCTTTAAGGGGAATGTAACACATGATTGTCCGCATGGTGTACCTATCAAAATAAAGCCCAACCCCTGTCTGCATGAATTCTCAGCAGGGCTGAAGATTCAGCTCCCACATACAGACCACATCAATAACTGACATATGAAATTATTTTGCTGGCTAGAAAGAATTGTATTGTGGGCCTGATATAGTCTGCTGGCCTGTTTTAAAACCCCTGTCCTAGACTCTTAGTCGTTGGTGTTTGAAGATTCTCCTATCTGGATTTATCCTATTCAAACTTGAACACTCATTTCCTGATCACCTCCTGGGTTACTTCTTGGAGGGAGGTAAATTGTCCTCAAACATCTTTAGAATTTTCCGGACTCCCTTCTCAACTCTGCGGAAATGTAGCCTCTTCCAGAGGCTTTGCTGCTGTTGACGCCCCCCCTCCAGATCCTCGAGAAAGACCTGCAAAAAAGAACAAAGGGCCACTGGTTTTACTGACACACACCTGACAATCAATCTTTTTTGTGCATTTCCCCTCATCAATTTTAAGTTGGGTGTTTGTGCGTGTAAAATGACACAAATTTAATTCTGCAAATCTAATTCATATCTTAAGGTCACTAATCCAATGATCCCTGTTCTCTGACAACATGAGTGAGGTGTCTCACTAGGAAAAAATGCTG